TGAAGAATTGATAAACCTGACATTGCCTTTCTTTACAAAAGCTATCAGTTATCTGATGCTTTTTGCAATTCAGCGATGCTTGTAGAAAAATATGGAAAAAACAATTTGCTCTGTGTGGACCCGGGAGCATTGTCCCAATGACTGACCTGCAGCCATAGAACTGGGGACAGGGAACTGGGGGCAAATGGTCGCGCGAAAGCAGTTGGGGGATCTTCGTTGATCAAGCTGGTGGCAAAGTAGAAATTGAAACATGGACATTGTGCAAACAAGAAAACACCAAAATTGATAACTTTTCAATTGAATCAAGAATCATGTGTAGGTGGAAGCAGTTGCTGTTGAAAGGATATGGAAAAAGTCTTGTCGAACTGCTTTGCAAGCAAGTCAATTGAGCTAAGTAGCCACACCTTGCAATCATCCAGCACAAATTCCTTCGCTGCCACAAGAAAAGTTTCAACACATGACATCGCCTTTCTTTACAAAAGTTATCAGCTAAATTTGATGTTTTGTATTTTTTGCGAATGTTGTGGAAAACTATTTGCTCTGTGTGGACCTGCGGGCATTGCATCGCTGGATGACTCAATGAGAACATGGGTCCAACGTGAGTCAAAGAGAACACCCTTGCGCAAATCCATATCGCAGTTCATGACATTCCATGGCACTTTGGCTTGCTGCAAGACTCCACGTCGCCTCGTCGGAGTCTAAACCGGCACAAACCCGGCAAAGAGCCTGGCACGCAAAACGACCAAGACAGACCCAAAACAAAACAAACGGATCAAGCTGTTTGCAGAGTACAAATTGAGCGGACATGGAACGTGTAAATCTAAGTACTGCTGAAAGGATATGTCTGAAAAAATGCCTTGTCGAACTGCTTCGCAAGTGCCCATTTTTCTTTGATGTCTGCGCAAGTCAATTGAGACAAACTGCCAAGCCTTGCAAGCATCCAGCACAAATTCCTTCGCTGCCCCAAGAAAAGCTTCAACACATGACATCACCTTTCTTTACAAAAGCTACGTGCAATGTTCACTTTGTGGACTTGGGGCCGAAAGGACATTGAGTCGCTGGAGTGGCTCGCTCCACTCAGCGTTTCTGCAGTCTGACATGGCTTAGCCCCTTGGATCATATCTGTTTGCGTCGATCGGTCTTTGAAGCTCCAAGTCCTAGCACCTTTGGATCTGATGCTCCGTTCTGATCTGAAAACATGCCAAACATTGGCGACAACAAACTCTCTCTTTAGGACGGTTCCCCTACCGATCGCCATTCTTTGTTTTTGTGATCAAAACTGGCTCTGCCCACTTCGCAGCAGGCGCCCGCTGCGCAGCCTGGGATTTTTGCTCTTCAGGAGCCCGGAGCGACCAACCGCAAGGAGGACCCGGCGCGGCGGACGCTCAGCAGATCGAAGGCGATGCCCGAAGCGAGGTCCGAAAAGGGGATTGCTTCTTCAAAACCATAGCCGTTCAAGCTGCCGTCTGCCTCTTTGGCAAATTCCCACTCCGTAGTGTCTTCCCAACTGCCCACTTGACATCGCCACTTCGCCCAGACGGGCTCGCTGACGTGAAGATACAGAGAGGCCTTATCTGGCGAAGCCTTGGGATGCAACTCGAGCCAGGCCTCGACGCCGGACGCCCCGAGCTGGAACTCATCGCTGAGCTGCTCCTGATCTTCGGTGAAGTTGGTGAAGTCGTAGGTCGACAAATCCCACTTCAAAGACATGATGGGCGCTTCACAAGGCTTTTGAGGTGCGTTGCACTTGTCTCTTAGCTCTTGGCACTCACCTTTTAGCTCATTGTACTTATCAAGCAGATCCTTGTATTTCTCACCCAGGTCAGCAGACCTGTGGCCCAAATCTTGGCAAGTGGAAGTTAGGGTGTCGCAAATCGCACCAAGATCTTGGCACTTGCTGTCAAGCATATGCCATTTGCTGCTTAGGTCCTTCCAATTGTGCCTGATACTGCCAAGAAGTTCGCACAACTTGAAGGCAGCCAGGTCATTCGCGCAGTCAAGATAGTATGCGTACGCAAAGGCACGATGAGATTCGTCCTCATTCCCATTGGCAACAAACAGCTCTGCAGCAGCAACAGCTACGCGAGCTCCATCTGCT